TGGCGGGGCCGCCGCTCAGCCCAGCTCGGCACTCTGACAGCCAGAGCAGAGAGGGTTTCTCTGCTTGTAAATACTTTCCGATGCACTTCAAACATCCCTCGAGCGATTTTGCAGTAACTGGCAGAGCCGGTGCCAGATTACAGAGCTGGTAAGATGCGTAGGACTCCTGTGGGGGCATTTTTCTTCGAGAGAAACCACCCAAAACGTCCTCTTTTTTTTTTTTTTTTTTTCTTTTAAGGGCTTTATTGGAGGATATGGCATATGGATCTCGTTCAGTCTGCAGTCCTGTATAGTGTAATGACCCTCATCAGTACCTATCTAGTAGCTTTTGCATATAAGAACGTCAAGTTTGTTCTCAAACACAAGTAAGTTGGTGGCCATTTGAGCTAGAATTTATTATTTTAATAATTTAACAAAACCAACATTTACTTTTGTTTTTATGAAAGGCTGAAACACTACTTCCAAAACTATTTTACTTTTGGAAGTGTTTCCTAATTGGCTTCTGTCATCTCTGTTGTAATTATGGAATAGACTGGCTGTGTCAGCTGAGCGTACAATGAAATGGCAAAACTACTTTCAGTGGGTGATACTACAAACTATAGTTGATAATACTTTTAGCATTTTCATTGTTACTTGTTGTCCCTTCAGCTTGTGAAAACTTTGTTGTCTTGTCAAAATATTATTCTTCACTGTAAACGCAACTTCCTCTAACCCCAGGGGGGGGTTATTTTAATTTTTCAACCTCAGTGGTGTTTCTTACAGAGTAGCACAGAAAAGAGAAGACGCCGTTTCCAAAGAAGTTACTCGCAAGCTGTCCGAAGCAGACAATAGGAAGATGTCTCGTAAGGAGAAGGATGAAAGGTAATCCCTTGTTTTAAGGTTCCCTCCCTTGTTTCAGTACTGCAAGGATCTGGGTAGGATTTTAGGGACTGTTGCTTGGCCAGTGTTGTGTTTCTGTATTTTGGTAAGTAGAAGCTGTACTGTCAGCTCCGTACTCATCTCTGAAGCATTTTTGAGGCGAGTTACCAATGAAAGGTCTCAAACATTGAAACCTTTGTCAATAAGATCCTACAAGGCAACCTCTCCAGAAGAGCCTTTCCACGTGCTGCCGGACTGCTCTGCTCATCCCTGCCTGGGCTTTTTCCCCCTCACGGGTGGAACCAGCGCGGCTCAGTGTGCACAGTTCAGCGGAACGGCTCACACGTACGCAGGGCTAGGTTGGATGTGCCTGGTAAAAAAACCAAACACAACTGTAACGTGCAGAAGGTGTGCTGGAACGAGAGCAGCGGTGTGTGGCTTCGCTGTGCCTCCGGGCATCGATCACTTGATGGTGTGCCAGGATACAGGTTGAGTTAAATGTGCCTGGAGTAACACCTCTGCTTGTTCCTAGAATTCTGTGGAAGAAAAATGAAGTCGCGGATTACGAAGCGACAACTTTTTCCATCTTCTACAACAACACCCTCTTTCTGGTCTTGGTCATCATTGCTTCGTTTTTCGTGCTGAAGAACTTCAACCCCACTGTGTATCCTTTATAACCAGGCTTGAAACAACCACAGTGCTACTCCTGGTTCTTGTCATGAGCAGCTAAACGTGTCGTGCGCGGTGTGACCTTACTCTGTCGATGCGTGCGGTTCGTTGTAGTACTCCTCCTACAAAGAAAGACCATTTGAATCCCTTGTTTTTTCATAAAAGCTGTACAAAATGTTCTGCACAAAAGAAGTGATATCTTTACAAGTATGTATCCTTAACTTTTTCCCCACAGAAACTATATTCTTTCCATAAGTGCTTCATCTGGACTGATTGCTCTGCTATCGACGGGATCCAAGTAGACCAGAATAAAACCGCACAGCAATTTCTTCCTGAGAGGGCTCAACTCCATACTGAAGTTTAAGGGTGGAATAAAACCACAATTTCATTTTTTTTTTATAGCATGACAGCTTGAGGATGTGGGAGGGAGGGTTTGGATCCAAAATGAATGAATTGTATTTACTTTTGGTATCTTTACACGGTATTATTCAATAACCGAATTATTTTTTTTTTACTTAGCAATGAAAGAAAATGATGCCTGAGCATTAGTTACCAAATGTAACCTTTGTGTAGCACTGCGTAGGTGCGACGGTACTACAGGTTGTTAGACAGCTCCACCGTAAGAGACAGCTGCCCAGCAGCACAAACAGCTGTGTGTAACATCTGTAACACAGTTCACCTCCGAGCTTGGTGTCTGCTGCTATAAGAGCCAAACTCCCCGATTGTAAAAAGCGACAAGTCACCACTTACCATTGTAACTTGAAAAGTTTTAATAAAAAGGAGGCTTTTTTTCTCATTTAGTTCCTTGCATTTTTGTTCTTAATTAATTTAAAAAAAAAAAAAGAGTCTTTTCATGGGCAAGCGGTGTGTGTAGGTTTATCAGCTTTTTTCTGCTGCCAAATGGGAGGAATCTTCTACAAGTCAGCATTTTCATTAGAAATACCCCTCATCTTTCTTTAAGTAACTTGGAGTCCGGACAAATCTTAAACGGCATCGCCTAGAAAAATACTTTTGAAGTGGTTTGAATGTGTTTTTTTTATCATTCATCTCCAGAATCATAAATGAATTTTAAAAAAAAAAGCACATGACACAAAATGACAAACCCAGCCTGCCAATTCTCCTGGCACAGCTTAGCAAAAATGCTCTCGCTGGCTTTTTACAATGGGTTTATCAGCCAATCCTTTCCCTTTTTTCGTGCTACGAAAGCAGCTGTTAAGTTAAATGTTAGACAACTACTCCTTTTACTGCAAGTGTATTCTGGAAGTTACACATTTTGCTGTTACAGCCTTGGAATGCTGACCAGGGAAGAAAGAGAAAGCTTTTAATCAGATTTAAAGTAATTATTACATTGCTACTTTTCAGTAAGATTCCTGTCAATGTAAATGACGGTGAAACGAAAGTTCCGGAGGGCAGGAGACAGTGTCTTGCCTGAGAGGATGCCCAGTTTGTACCGTCACTGTTTCTGACAAACAGAACCAGGACAGCCTCGCAGAACCGTCACCTGATTGCCAAGTGCCTGCTGACCGCGACGCTGCCGCTCCCCTCAGCATCCGTCAGAGCCTTCAGTCTCACCTCCTCACTGTGTAATTTACTTGTATTTTTTGTCCCAGCACTCACGCTGTGAGAATTCCCGTGGCTTTGGTGCACTTCAGAGCTGCTGTTGAAATGACTTCCCTGTCATTGAACGCCCTGCGAATTAACTCGATTGTTTTTATCGCTTCTGCCCATTTCATTCACTTCTGAAAGGGGCCTTTCCATATTGCTTACGTAGTTTTACTTTCCACAGCGTGTCACTTATAAAAGATATAATTTGTACGTGTCGTAGTCTAAGGATTTCGCACGCATAAAACGAATTTCTGACAAACTGAACAGGCAGAATCAGCCACGAGGCCAAGCCGACCGCTTTGAGAAGGCGGCAGGAATGTTTCCCAAGAACGCTGCCATCTGGAGAAAAGCGATTTGAAGCAGCTCTTTCTTCTGCGGTTACTGTCAGTTCGCTGAGTCTTTTATTAACAGCTTTTCACCTTACCTGCGGGGTTGGTTGTTTTTTCTTTTTGAGGCCTGGCGTGTAGTCGGTGTCAGAATCTTTCTGGAGAGAGAGCGTTGCGGCGCTGACAGCCTGAAACAGAGCGGGTTGGTGGGTGGGCTGGGTTATTTTCTACACAAAGCCTTGTCTTTTCTGTGGACTCCTTCCCACAAAAGCACTGGGGTTTGGTGAGTTTTGTTGGTTTTTTGCTGCTGCTGTTTGGATTTTTGCTTGATTTTGAGGTTTTTTCATTGCAGTCCCCACTACAAGCTGCACCCAGTTTCTTCAGTATATTGCTGGAGGTCAACCTAAAGCTTTTGCTCTAAGTAAGGGACACCACCATCTCCTTTTTAATTACAAAACAAACAAAAAAGTTTGGAATAATTGTATTTGTAATACACTGTTGGATTCCCGCGTATCCGAGAAGAAGAAGAGAGGACATTAAATTGTACCTCCAGATGGACGGAACAAATGCTACTGAGAACAGGATTTCACTGTTAAAATAATAAACCTGTTAACTGCCTAATTAGAAAATACACCTTTGTGCTGCCCACAAAGCAGACATTTTAAAATACTTAAAACAGTTGACTTTCATAGCTAATACTGCAAAGCTCGGGGCTGTGCAAAGCACTTTGGCCATGGTCTCCACCTCAGCGAAGCTGTGAGTGCCCGGCCCAGTGTCCTTCTGGAGAGGGGCTGACAACTCAGCCGCAGGGGAGTTTCAGCAAACTGGCAGGAGGAGAGTTGATTTCAGGCCAAAATGTTATTTATGGCTGACTTAGGAAACTTAATTTCTAGCGGTACCTTCTCAGAGAGGCTCAGCCCAGCCCTTCGCTCCTTGGACGCACCCACACCTCTGCCCGAGATCACCGTCCCTTGCCCGACGAGGGTTTCCCTGTGGGATAACACGCATCCATTTTCAAGGTAAACCCCTGCTTTTTCAAAAAATAAAAACAAAGAAACACCGTCTCACAGTTAGTAACGGGTCTCCGAGTAGCAGATTAGATGCACAAAATGCTTTTATTTGTGTCCAAGCAGAAGTCAAAGTCAGACTGCGCTTCTGGATATACAGCAGCCAAGTTTGTGTACACAGACCATAGCTCGTTGGGTTAAATACAGGAGAAGACAACTCGAGTGGGAGCATCTGGCTCGCGTGAGTGTCCGCACGCGCCCTGCAGATAGCCTGGAGTTAAGGGGACTGGAAATACACGGGTCCTACAGACACTGTACACAGCCGTTACCCCCTCGGAGCTCGGGGCCCAAAGTACGTGCTTGGATACGAGGGAGGAATATTTTACAAAGCAAACTCATGGTAAAACGTGACGTGGGTTTTAAGATGGGCAAATAATTTAAGTGGGTAAACTATCAACCCCTGGAGAGGGATGAAATGCTCACAAAAAAAAAAACAGCCAACAAACCCACACCAAAAAAAACCCCAGCACCCTACCTGTTTCAAATGTGTCTTAAACGAAAAAAATTAAAAAATCTATGCATTTACTTATGGCCGATTCCAGAACAAGTTAAAGCAAATGTAGCCTTCCAAAGTACATACCTGATTTTTTTTCTGGTATTTTTCAGCAGCTATATAGTGTGTGTATATATATATTTAGAAGTATCTATATCCTTAAAAGCTCATGAATATTGAAATTTGCAATAGCTCTGTCTACAAGCAGGCAGAAGTAGAGGCAGGTTCTATAGATGCAAACCCCAATATTTTATCCTGGATTTCTTGGCTTAAGGTTTAAGTAGAGTTAAAGTTGTGCAAAGAGCTGTTGTTTTTTATTAACCTGACATGCGCATTTGGGTTTTCTAACTGTGCTCTTCTGGCTTGTACTCAGAAATACTTCCCAGGAGCACTCTCACAGCTTAAATAATTGTACAGTTAGGAGTTGAGCTATCTAATTTCTAACTAATCCTCTGTCTGACGTCCTTTATTCAACTACAAACGAAACCTAAAGCTTAGATTCAGCATAAAAAAGAAAACAGAAAAAATTTGAGCTTGCCCCTTCTGTCTGTTAACCTGAAGAAACTTTATGACTGAGATTTCCCAAACGTGGTTTTATTAAAACCTTGAGTTTTATCTGGCTTTTCTTCATTGAAAAAATAGATCTGTACATCCTTCTTTAATTACCAAGTACCTGAAGGTTATAAATATTTTTTTTGCTTTACAAGTGTTTTTCACAGCACAAGCATGAGGTGCTAAAGAGTAAAGTAAAAAGTAACGAATTCAGTCGAAGGTAAGAAAATACAAGGTCGTTCTCGGTTAGAAGAGAGATCAACTGTGCTTTTAAATTTCACTGCAGATTAGTAGCAACAGCACACATCTCGAAGGATCCAGTGACAGGAGACGCCGAGCAGCAAGCTGCTGAATGATTCTCATGACCGGCTATTGATTCGGGGCTGTACGTCTGTACAGAGCACTTTTTAAACCATGCAGTCCAGGGATTTCATGCATCGCATTATGATCTGTAGTCCTTCTTGCTGTAGGGCTTGTTTCCCAGGATGTTATCTATCTCGTTTACAATATGGGATGTCATCTTTGGAAGGACCTAGGGACGGAAGAAAACTGGTGTCTCATCAAGCTGCCATTGAAGGCTTTTCCAAATTTAAATCTGGAGATTCTCAACGTTTCCTCTGACACTTAAACATTCATCTAATATCTCTCTCCCTTAAAGCAAAGGCTACTGGAGTATTTGTATCCTGTGAGAGAGGCACAGAAGGGCTCCTAAGCTCCCCATGCGTGACATTTTGAGGGAGCTGGGTCTGTTCAGTTTGATGAAGAGGAGGCTGAGGGGGATCTCATCATGCTCTACAGTTACTTGAAAGGACATTGTAGAGAGGTTGGTGCTGGTCTCTTCTCACAGGTAATTAGGGACAGAACCAGGGGGAATGGTTGCAAGTTGCAACAGGGCAAGTTTAGGCTGGACATTAGGAAGAAATTCTTCACAGAAAGAGTGGTCAGACCCTGGAACAGACTGCCCAGGGAGGGGGCTGAGTCACCATCCCTGGATGTGTTCAAGTGTCGTTTAGATGGGGTGTTGGGTGATATGGTTTAAGGATGAACTTGTAGTGTAGGGTTAATGGTTGGACTTGATGATCCCAAGGGTCTTTTCCAACCTGAATTGTTCTAGGATTCTATGAAATGAATTGCTGCTCAGCTGCAGCCGAAAGTGAGCTGGCGGCATAAACAGCAGAGGAAGCTCTTGTTGTGAAAAGCAACAGAGAATAAGTTAAGGTGGGTGCAAGTGGCACCTGCCCTGCAGAAAAGCTTTAGTGCAGAATAATAACCAAACATGTCCTGGAATTGGGTCGTTGGCTTTTTCAGACACACCAAACCTGCTGGTGCCACCCTCCTGTGGCTCTAACTACAACAAACGGTTGGTAGCCATGGCGATGCACCACAGGTTTGCCTAATTAATGCACATAACTACAAGTGAAACTGTTCTGAGAGAAGGAGGATGCTAGTCCCGAGGTTGATGGTGTTGAGCTGGGCAGTAGCTGACTCCCCCGCTCCGCTGAGGCGCCCCCACCACCTGCACTTGCCTGTATGGCTCCGAGGTTCTCTATCAGCTGCTCTGGGTTGGAAGATCCTAGAAGGACGGAGCTCACCCCCTCGTTTCTCAGGCACCATGCTGGAAATAAAGTCACAGGATGGTCAGCAGCGTGGGTTTCACGACATGGCATTACCCCAGATCTTAGACCTTCTACCTCAAGGATTCACCTCCAGCCTGTTTGAATCGGGGATCATTTTTCTAACAGATATGTGGCGTGTTTTTCAGCCTCGGCTCTCAGCAGCACAGCAACTGTTACTAACAAATGAATAAACCCTCTTTTTAAAAACTAGTGTTTTCTTGAGTCTCTTGGCAAGTAGGCTGAAGGGCTGATGGCTTTCACCCGGGGAGGGACCGTTCAGAGAAACAGGCAGGGTGGCATTAGAGGGTGGCCCAAGGAACACTAGCCTTCTTATCAGTCAAAGCCTGACGATGATGGAAACAATCTATTTTAAGTAATTTTTAACTTTACTGCTAGAAAAAAAGTTATTCTGTGAGAGGTTAATGTGCCAGGGGTTACCTCGTATTTTAATATCCAACAGTGTGGTTTGTTTTGTTCTTCTACTGTGCTCCTTGGAAAGCACCAGCCCTCTCCTAATGAAGTGTTGCCCATCTTCAGTCTTTTCATGTTTCTGACATTTTGTTCCATAAATAGTAAATAATCCCTTAAATAATAAAGAGGGCAAAGAGACAGTCGTCCCCGTCCCGTCACCTACCGACAGCCAGCTGCGGCAGCGTGCAGCCCAGGCGCTCGGCGATGGGCGACAGGTCCTTCAGCTTCACCTGCTGCTTTCTGCCTTCCTCGCTTATGATCTTCTCTTTCAGCCACTGGTAGCACTGGAGAGGAATGACATCGCCGTCATCGCGAGTATAACCAGCTCTTTAAAAGCCACGGCCAACCCAGGAGGCAATGGAGGATGAGTAACACAACGCTCGGCCACCCCAAGGAATTACGACAGGACCAGGATGTCTCCCATGAGAGCCTATTTCCGTATTTCTTTGGCTTTATGCAGCCAATGGACTGTCTGGAACCTCCCCAAGATTTGTGGGGTGGTTTTTTTTTTTGACTGCTGGATCCCATCACACAGTGGAGAAAAAGTGAAATATTAGTCAACTTGAGAAGATTTTGACACCGACTTCCCCTCAAAGAAAAAACATTGTGATGTAACATCTGATCTTATTCAAGACTTACTATTGCCATTCAAGATTAAAAAATTAAATGAGATTTCTGTTCTCCCAGCTCCAGACTTGAAGCTTGATTCTGCTTTACTCTCTTGAATTTAATTTGGATCCCTCTCTGCAGCACTGCCTGCTTAGCTAGATTTACTGAACGTTAGCAATACATTTTATTTTGGGAAAAATTCCCAAATGCAATGAAACGCCACATTTGAAAATGCTGCCCTTTGTAAGCAAATCAGTGTAAGCTGCATCTTTCCTTTAAAAAGCACCAAAAAAAGCCAGCAAAGCTGGCAAAAGCTGGCACAGGGACGTACGTCAGTCTGCTGGCGCTTCTCAGGCAGCGTTGGCTTTTGCCCATCAGCTAATACAGAGGCTCAAATACCATTTTGGTTGGGATTTCTCCCCCCAAATCAATGACATTTTGGCCCTCTGCAGATTTTCAAACCATTAAATAATATTGGGTCTCCCCTTAGACCCCTAACAAGAATAAAATCAGGATAACCATGGGAGAAACCAAACGCCGCGGGGCTGAGCTCCCAGCATTGCTCAACCTCAGACACTCGCTGCCTTGGCAGGCTGGTGCCCAGGGAAGGGTGGGTGAGAAAATAACATCCAGGTCTGTTTTACCCACCCCACGTAGTTAAGAGGGTTTGAAGTTTAAGAGGGTTTGAAGCCCAGCTCCGGTCGCTTGCTGCCCCCACCAGCAGCTCGTTGCGGTGGGGAACCCGAGCATCTTTAAAACCCAGGATTTTTTTGGAGTCTGGTTGCCAGAGAAACGGAGTCGATCTATCAATACAGCAGCACACAGACCAGCCTCTTCATGAGGGATCTGTTCTCCCTTGGTTGTTCTCCTGTCCTCACAAAAGCAGCACATCTACTTTCCTCAAACGTGCCACAAAACGAGAAAAAAATACCTTCAGTGCAGCCCTTGAGCTTTCAGGGACCCCGTTGCCGTATTTCCCTGAGATGATCCCACAAGCCAGTGGGGACCATGTCATGGCTCCGACTCCTGCGGAGAAAACACCGAAAGAGATTTTTAAGGGAGTGGGAGGAATCAGAGTTATATCAAAAACAGGACTTTCAGTTAAAAGAAAACCAACGCAATCAAAACGATTGCTGCTCGTTAGTGTTGCCACCAATGTTCAGTTCAGGAGATGCACGAGCAGACATTGGTGTCTCCTGATGCAGGGAGAGGTGGCACCTACATGGTGCACGAGAGCCTCAAAGAGTAATTAACATCCTAGATAGAGTAATTAACTATCAGAGGCACAGTAAGCCTGCTCTCTTGTAGATCATTAGACAGACACTCTGTCCCCTTCCGACGCGGCGAAGGAGAGTGCTGTTCCCATCTCAGGCCCCGGAGAGCCGGCTCTGTATTTCTTTCTGGCATGAAATAGCAGAAAGGCACAGCAGGCTCTGTCTTACCTATTTTGTGATATAATTCCGGCAGCTGAACCTCCACTTTCTCTCTTTGGAAAAGATGGTATTCAGCTTGCTCGCACACCGGGGGTATCATGTTAAACTGCCTGGCAACGGAGTAGGCTTCCTGGAGAGGAGATGAAACACTTCATTAAGTAAAAGCATCTTGTGGGACATAACCTACCAGCCAACACTCCTGAAGTGCACTCATGGTGATGAACTCAAGTTTTGCCATCCCTTGGCAAGGCCACGCACAACCCTGTGAGCACAGTCCAGCCCGTGCTGTGTCCCCCTGCGCCCACCACAGCTGGGCACGCTCCCACCTTCTGCCTCCTCCAGCCCAAAGTCAAACCACTTCCCAGCTGAGACAGATTTGGTTGGATAGAATTTAGGTTGGAAGAGATCTTTAAGGTCATTGAGTCCCACTGTTAACCTAGTGTGCCCAGGTGGGCCACCAAAGCCATCATCTATAGAGTCACAGAATCATTTAGGACAGGAAAGACCTTTGGGAGCAGAGTCCAACTGTTAACACAGCACTGTCGAGCCGGTTGGTGACAAGCTTTACTGCGTTTTGATCCCACTTCAAGAAGCAGGGACCCATAGGATGCTCCTGGCATCTCATAAAATCATGACCGGTTTGCGCTGAAGAGACCCTTAAAAGCCATCGAGTCCAATGCCCCAGCAGCATCTTCCGCTAGGTTGGGTTGCCCGGAGCCCTGCCCAACCTGACCTCAAAAGTTCCCAGGGGTGGGCTATCCACCCCCTCTCTGTGCAACAGCGAATGCTTCTGACAGAGCGTTAAGGATGAGCTGTCAGGACGCTGGTTTCCCCCATCCAGTGTTTTTCAGGTAAAGCCAGTTCCCACAGCTCCGACAGTCCCACGGGTCATGGAACGGCTGCTGGGAGCCACGTCTCCAACAGGGCATCGGTGGCCACGAACATCAAACAGGCGCTTTACCCAAAGCCCTGAAGTCAGCCAAATAAAACAAACCCCAATTAAACGAGCCCAAACCACTAGATCAGTCCACGTCCTAATTAATTTGGCTCGTTCTGAAGCAGGCATTACAATTATTTTAGGTGAAAAGCTGCCGGCTAGAGCAAAGCGCAAACCCTCCCAGCCCAGACACGTGTGTGTGCGTTCGGCTCCCACGTGTCTTTCAGGGGGCTCTGTGCCCAGGATGGGCAATTACCAACATCAAACTCTCCCCTAAAACCTGATTTTACCATGATCTCCATAGCACTCCAGCGCGACGTTCCCCAGTACATGGCCATGCCTTGATTTATGACGTGTGTCATTGCCCGGACGATTTCTAAAGGAAAGAAAAAAATATGTCATACGAGAACTGCACCAAATCCTCCCAAAGCCACTTACAAACGCCAAGTACGTTGACAAGCCTGAGCAGCTTTGCATTAAACATCGGTTTTGCCCTGTTCTCTTGCTCGAGCATGGATGAAAAAGCTTTGACAGCGGCAAATGTAAAGACATTTATCCTGCAGCTGCTTAAAATTGCTTTAACAACCTATTGCCTGCCACCTCCCTGCGGTAACATTTCTTTCAACACAAGAGGGCAGCCCAGCTGAAAAATAAACTAAAAGATAAATTAAACTTACTCTTAAATTTGTTTACTAAAAGCTGTATCTGGTCCTGCTTCTTTTTACATGGACTATCAGGATGCGGTGGCTAAAACTGCAGAACTGGACGACTGAACCTCACGGTTGGAGCTGGTGGCACCTCTGCAAAACCCAGCACTGCTCCTTAGCATAAAAGTCCCACGGTCCTCGGTCTTCTTTGGGATGATGGAAGCCTGCATGGCCGCACATGCTGGGAGAGAATCTCTAATTTCCACCCATCAGACTGCTGCTGGGCAGCCCTGCCTTCTTGCAAGGGTTGGGAAAAAACAACGACCCATCATAAACTTCAAGAAAAGGAGAAAAAATTGTCTATCGCTTATGGGCACCCAGGAGCTTGCAGAGCCTGGCAGGATGCTAATCCTGTAAAGAAAAGAGCTTACTGTCTGCAACCCAGTTTTGAGCCCAGTTTCTCCCTCTGGGTGCGTGGCATCGGAGGGAGGGAAGTCCTGGGGACATAGTCCTCACAAGCAACTATGGGAGCACAGAGCTGCCCCAGCTGCAGCAACAAATTCGTTTTCCTCACTGAGGAGGATGAATTTTCCCTTTGGAGCTGAGCAGCAGCTGCCAGGGCACAGGCACTGTGCTGGCTGCTAACAGCGCATCCTTTAAACTGCCCAAAAGGGGCTGCATCTGCTCCGAGAAGCAGGAGAAAACGGCACTTAGTCACCAGCCGCGGTGCCACACGAGTCTGCAGGCGCTGCCGCATCCCCTCCCTCGGGGAGGCAGCGAGGAAGCGACGCCCTGCACCCACCCCATGAGTTTCTGACCCATCGAACCAGGGCGAAACGGCTCAGGTGGGACCCAGATGCCCCACACCTCCGCTACACCCGTCGGTGTGCCTGCTGCTCCCGGGACAATGACTCCGGCATCGCTACCTTAAGACCGAGATGAGCTGCCTTGTATGTCATGAGGATTCTCATCCTATTTATGGGAAAAAAAGAGAAAAAAACCCCACACAACCAAGGAGCTTGGCAGAGAGGAGATTACACTGCCAATCTTGATGTTGTTGCGAGATGTCTTCTGCAGGCAGCGACAAGCAGTTGACGATGATGAAGTCTCCATTTATAACCTTGGAGGGCTGTGTAAGAGACACCGGTGCCTTTTGCACCCGGCTTCTGCCTTCCCACTGAAAAGGGAGATTTTCTCTCCAAGGAAACGTTGGCTTGAGTTTTTTTTCCCCATGAAGAGTGGATTTCAAACACCACATAACGTTTATTTTTCTTTTTCCCCTTTCATTTTGGCCAAAGCCACGCTTTTCTCCTTTTTTTCTCAGCATTTTATTCTCAGGCATGTACTAATCCAACAAAACGCCCCATTATCAAGCAGCTGCCCCGGCACCCGTGGGCGCGCTGCGTGCAACGGGCAGCTCCAGGGCAATCCTTCCCTCCTCGGCAGCGCGGGCTCCACATCAGGTTCAGTTTTCTATTTTTGCCACAGAACAGTTTAGGAATTTTCATAAGCATTTCATCATACGCCTCTTACACACTTCGGTCCCTGGTTGTTTTCATTTCTCCTGCCTCTGCTTCTCTGAAGCAAAAAAAATGAAGTTAACTCAGAAAGCGCATACATACATACATATATATATATGTATATATATATATGTATTTCTTCTTGTTTATCAGAGCTGGTCTGATAGATATGGTGATGGGGTGGTTTATGAAGAGCACATGCCTGGACCGCTCACTGCGCCAGCTGGATGGCACAAATGGCATCACTTAAGAAGGGCAGATTCTTTTAAAAAAATACAAATGCATATTTCAAAACCCAGAAAAGAGCCTCGAGCAGCATAATAATAATTTTCAGGTAGCTTAAAAGTTCCCTGATAAGAACCACGTCTCCTTCCCTCTCTGCTTGACCAGGCTGGGGCTGGCTGTGCAGCGGGCGCTGCCCTGCTCGTCTGCTGGAAAAGCTGCTCAGGATGACAAAAAGCACCTGCTCACACAGTTGGGGGATGAGCTCTCCAACCTAATGAGGCACGAGACTTGCAGAAAGACAGGAGAGAAGCACAAGTCCTTCCCATCACCCAGCTCCTGAGGTCCCAAGAGCAGCTCCAGGGTGAGGAGGGGGGACACGACCGTTCTGGTCAGGGACCTGGCTGCAGGGTTAGGCAGAGCTTTGCACCGGGTACTCGTCTCCAGACATTCCCTGAAGCTAATATTGTATTGCTTTTACAACAAAAGGCTTTTTTAAATTAGCTCTGGGTATTTAAGGAAGTTAAATACGTTTTGGATTTTTACATTAAGCAAGCTTTGCCCGCTGCTTTGGGGGCCAGAGCCACCTGCAACAAAGCAACGCGCACCGAGTGCTCGTGTTCCCTCGTCCGCTCCCCGTCAGCCACCGCTCCCGAGGCAGCCTGGGGGAACGGGAAGCGATTCTGCTCTGGCCAGGACAGACCAGACGAGCGTTTTTAAACATCTGCTCCATCCCTGCTGATGCCCACAGCCCCACACATCACAGCGGACGAGGAGCCTGAGCGACAGAAGAGAAACCTCACCCGCCTGCGTGCAGCAAGCCGAGGAGAAGTGAACATCCAGAGCTCATCCTTCGCTTTAGCTGGTTGTACTTTACCACCTAGAACCACGCCGTTTGCTCAAGCAGGACCCTCAGGTGACAGCACGAGCGGGGAATGTTTTTGAGGTTGCTTACAAAGCACTCCCTGTCAGAAGAGGCTATTTGCTCATGGGAAGAAGCACAGGCACGTCAGGAGAGGGAGCGGGGATCGCACGCCTTGTGGAGGTAGCTCAGCACTGACTGTGCATGCCAGAGAGCGCAGAACCGACAGATGGCTCAGCAGATGCTCTGGGATGGAAGTGGCTTAGTAGGTGAACCATATAAAAAGCACGAAGCACACAGAAAGAATCAACACCGCGCCATTCATAATAAAAATGTCCCTTTTTTCACCCTGCTCAAAAAAAAAAATCTCACCAAGCACCACAGTTTATACCTTATTGCCAAGCTCCAGCGCTGCTAACATTGTCTGCAGCATCTCCAAGGCTGCAAACGCCCGAGATCAGCTGCGCCACGCGGGCACGGGAAATGTATTCAGTGCCGCCTCGTTAGATGACAACTGACTGAGCAGAGAGGTCATTTCTCCCTCCAAGATACATCATGCCATCTTCCTTGACCGCTCGTCGGCTGCTGCAAGATCTGCCCTGGTCCCGAAACCCCAGGCCAGTTCCCTGAGCCCGTAGCTGCTGGCGCTGGCTGGCCGGGTCACCCAGACCCACGCTCGTTAAGAAAATAGGTGTCACGACTGCTGAAAGTCAAGGCAGGAGCTTTGGAGGGGCCTGCCAGGCTCCAGGTTTGCGGGATTTACGTGTGCTCCTCCATGACAGCTCCTGCAGCCTGCAAGTCTTTCCTCTTGCTATTTTTTATTTAGCTGTGACACTAATCTTCTGCCACAGTGTGAATTAACTCCGATGGGAGAAGAGAAGGAACGGGAGCTGGTGCCCATTAAATGGGGCACTAGCCCCAAAACCTGTTGGTGAGGGTTCCTGGATAACTGGACTACACCACCACACACCAAACACGCATAGATACGGTTATCAGCAATTCCCAAAGGTAACTAAAGCGCACAGTCACAGGTCTTTGTGAGGTCCTAAACCCATTCCCTGAATTTAAACAGTCTGAATTTAATCAGGAGCTCAGTTCCCCACCAGGACTAAGAAGCTGAGCCCAGCTCTGGGCAGAGAATCCTTGCTCTCCGTGCCAGGGGGACTCCATCCTCGCTGAGCCCAGACTCAGCTTGAGCTGTTCATGCCCGTGGGACAGAGGACCTTAAATCTTGCCCCTGGGATCCATCCCCAGTTTTAGCACCGGGAGAAGCACACACTGTCCGGGCAGCCCAGGGAAATTGTGCTCTCCCCTCTAGAGATGGCCACACCGGGGAAGGGATACACAGGTTTCATCTGGCACAGGTAAGACCTGCCGTAAATGCAACCACACATTCACTTTATCTGAAAGAACTCGGGAAGAGGTAGTAAGAGAGACAAACTGTGTTTGGGGCATGAAACTTCAATTTCCTTCCAAGAGAGACGAATTCATTTCATCGAATCATAAATACATAGGGCTCCCGGATAACACAAGTGAGATATTTCATACTTAAGCTGCCCCACACAAATATCTAATAAAAAGAAAAATAGTTTTTCATTTCCTACTATCATCAATCTAAGCCTGTAAGCCAGGATCAGTCGCATTAAACCCTTTAATTCAAGCTTCCACTGACCTTCCATGGGGGTATTATTGTCTGGCCGGTTGGCGAAGACGACATCCCCGTTCTCCAGCTGCAGCCTCTGGAGGGAAGCCTTCAGCCCTGGAACAGCAAAGCAGAGACAGACCCCCCATGGTCAGAGCTAGGCAGGCACAAACCAGTGCCACTTTAGGGCAGAAATATTTATATTTTTATATACATATATGATTTATGTATATAAACAAATACCAATAAATACATATA